GCAACAAACTCTTCGATGGCTCAGCCGCAAATGCCCGTTTATCAAAGCCGGTTTTAGCGATTTCCAGTCAATCATTTCTGATATTTCGCAGTCTTTCCAACTGATTTGAGTGAAGAAAACTAAAGCTCATCTGAAGAAAAGTACGTCAATGTTGCCTCCATTTCGCTCTTTCCTTCCGACTTGATGTTTATAACAGGTACTGGCTATCGCCAACAACATGGCAATCGCGTCGTGAGAAAGAGCTGAATCTTGGCTCAGCATCGGCACGAGGTGATTATTCGTACTCTTCGAGATATTCCAAACATCCAACTTATTCGCGTGTTGCCAGTCGTCTTTATACAAACTATTGAAGAACGCCGAAAGTGCTTCTTTTTTTTGAAATCATCTGACGATACTATGACATTTCGCCTGCGTTCAACCACATGACTCTTAAATTCATGCTTTTTTTGCAAATCTAATCACCAGACGCTTCTAATCAGAGAAAATAAATGAAGAGGTTGGGAAAAGCATCAGTTACAAAACATCATTTTTGGCTATTTAGCCAGAACCGAGTTCCAACGATGAAGTCCAGATAAAATGGGTGATACTTCTGTTGCCAAATAAACCAACTTTGCAAAATTTTCGAAAAAACCCCTTCCGGAGGAACCAAAAACTTCGCTGCCGAATGAGCCAATTTTGCAAATTCGAATAAAAAACTCCTTCCGCAGGGACAAAAAACCCACGAATTTTGGATAAATTTCGCCTACTTGCTGTCCTCAACATCCAGTTACACAATATTTATTCTGAACGGAATTAAGAAAAAAAAAATAGTGGAACGCAAGCATTATGCGATATTGCAAAAAAAAATCCGAAACATTCATTGGTTCGCATAAATTAAAACGTGGCCCCCATTTACTCGAAAAAACTGCCAATCGAACCAAAATGTTATGTTGAAATTAACAGTGTTACTAGTATAGGGAATGAAAACCACAGATCAAACTTCGACGAGCGTAGCAGCTTCGTCTTCCTTCGACTTTCTCACTTTTCCTATTTTTGCCGTGTCCTGGCATTTTAGTGTCAATGATAACAGTGTATTAATGGGAAAATTGGAATTACTGATCATGCTAACGTCGACAGTGGGAAATCTATTCTTCTTTTTTTTTTGTGTGTGTCAAAATAGGTATAATAATTGTTTTCAAACAAAAAACGAGACGAAAAGTTTTCGAAAGTTTCATATTTTTACCAATACATTCATTGATCATGTCGCTACACTCAGGGCTGAAAAATTAGCAAACGTTAAGAAATTCAATTTCATAATCACTGTAAAATGAATTTCATAATCACTAAAAATCAATTTCATAATAATCACTAAAAAAAATCAAAAATCAATTTCACACTAATCACTGATAATCACTAAAAATCAATTTTATCGCTAAAATCAATTTCATAATAATCACTAAAAAAATCAAAAATCAATTTCATAATAATCTAATAATCACTAAAAATCAATTTTATCGCTAAAATCAATTTCATAATAATCACTAAAAAAAATTAAAAATCAATTTCATAATAATCACTAAAAATCAATTTTATCGCTAAAATCAATTTCA